TCTCGATGCTTGAATCACTGAATGTGATGCTGGGGATTCGTGGTGAGATGGGTGGTGGCTGCTGGCTCCAGGAGCTGTGGTCACCAGACTCTATTGGGAGTGATTCGGGGTCTCATGGATACGGGGCTGGGTCTGGAGGCAGCAAGGACTCTGGTGTCAGTGGTCTGGACTGGTGACTCGTCCCAAGGAGCAGAGTGGGAAGTGGTGTGGCTGCCCACGTGCTTTGGACGGTGTCTTTCACAGGAAGGTATTGCTCTTCAACTCAAGCTGATGAGAGACACTCTTGCTGGGTGCAATAGATGTCAGTGAAATACAAATGATGGAGTAAATTCCCACTTCTCTAAACCTGATTTCCTGGTCTGGGTTGCTTGCATAGCCAGATGAGAGTTAACTTTTTCTCCCCCAAATGCTTATGTTAAAATATATTTTCCATGTATGTGTGTTTACATTACATTCAGACTAATCTAAACTGATAGGCAAGAATTTCTAATACCCTTAGCATATTACTAATACTTCTTGGCCCTATCTCTCTGAATTATGTTTCCTACTTCCCCTTAAAAATTCTTTGAACTTGAAAAAAAGAAGATTTCTCATGTGATAACTGGACAGTAAAGATAAAATATGTTCCCACATTCCCTTATTGGACAGTGTAGAGAGATTTAGCCCACAGAGACGAGATCAGTGCTGTCCAAGAGAAACAGCCACTGAGATTGAGGCACTTACAGTCAGGACACATCACTAAGGGGCTTGGATTAAAAGAAATATTTAAAAATACTAAGTATTCAGTAGGTTTCTGGCTGAGGACTCTGCTTTCAGACCACTGACGAGTTACTGGTTAACAGTGAAGGGAATATGCTAGGACCATTCAAGACATACTATGACATAAGATAGAAAAAACCCATGCATTCAAGGAAAACATCATACATACCAATAATTTTAACATTTAGGTTGTTAAAAATTCTGAGAGGCAAACAAAATGTGATGGATTCTCTCTTCAACTTTACTAAAGTTTTAACAACTTTTTTGCTTTTTTCTTATACTCTAAAAAAGAGTTGATCCAACTGAAGACGTTACTTCTACCCACAAACTTGTTGTAGTTTTCTGAAGGATACATGTTAGTCTCAACACACTTTTCTGGGCTCAGTGCAGGAGTAGTTGTGCATGATGTCATGGCCTGTGGTGCTCAGGAAGTCAGATGGGCTGATCTAATGGTCCCTTCTGCACTCCAAATTTATGAATAGTGAGGGTTAGTGAGTTTTGGTGAAGAGAAAGTCTTTCTCTGATTCAAAAGTCTTAAATTAAGCTCCCACTGAGGAAAAAAACAAACATGGGGGGGGGGGGGGGGAGGGAAAAAAAAACCACACAAAAAGAAAAACCCCAAAAATAGAAAAACAGGGTTAGATATCCCCAAATTGTTCATTTATTTTGACAAAAGCATTTCACTGCTAATTACAGATCCTTCAAGCAGTACTAACAAATGTCCGTGGGGATAATTTGTAAAAATTAAGGTATCTTATCATTATAGGAGTTTACTTTGCTTCCTACTGTTGTTAAATTTTGCTTTAGTAGCAAGGATGAGAGAGCTAGCTTCTGTGTGGGCCAAAGTGAAATTATATTTCTTGGTTTTATGGGCTGAGGTCTACTGCAAAGAAATCGAGGAATGGCACTGGAGTGACTGCAAAGGGCTGCCGTGGTTTGGGGCTCAGTGTCTTCCTCACCCAGGGAACGTCACTGCTCTCCTCAAGTGCTATTTTTGTAACCACAATAGCCACAAAAATTAATTGCATCCTTCCACGGTCCAGCCTCGTTATCCTTCAGGGTATATTTTTTGATGTTAGGTCTTTGATTCTGGGTGATCCAGGCTGATGTGTCAAAAAGGGATTGCTTCTGCTGACTCTCAGTTTTCAGATTCAGTCAAGGCCAGGACATAAAGCAAAACTAAAGGGTTGCAACACACAGTAAAAGAAAACTCTGCTGAGTTTGAACGAGAGCAAGTGATAATTGTTAGCCCCTTGGGTGGTCAGCTTTGCATCTTACAGCATTTAAAAAATATATTAAATAACAAAATATGTTCTATGCTCAACCTTAGCTAGTGTTTTAAATTGCATTATAAACAGATACTCTTCCTTGCCGATCAGATTAAAATGTTTGTGATATGCTATTTTTTCCAGATACAAAATCCCACTATATTCTCTAAATCTTTTGTGTTAAATTAAGAGAGTAATAAGATTTCTGAACTGAAACTGTCCTTATAGTCATCACCTTTATACTGTCTATACATCAATATGAAAAATGGAATACAAGTCTGGATATGCTTCTTGAAATATTTAATCTAACCTAATTTTAAAGACAGATGTATTCTTTAGTTTATATTGGTATTAAGTGTGTCATTAACAGTCATGGTTTTTTTTTCCTTCAGGGACAACAATCTGTTCAAATATCAATTCAGATATTCTGGTTAAAGATAAACAGTAACAGGCAACAAGCAAAGAGTAAGTTTATGTTTTGATCTACTGCTTGAATACAACAAAATTGCTTATGGTATTGCATCATGTTTCTGTGAAGGTTTGTAGTAAACTGCATGTCTGAGGTCAAGTTTTTCAGTGTATCCTTTTTCAGGGATTAAAAAAAGAAAGCCTTCCACAATCCAATTTATTATGGTACGTCCCAAGCAATGATTCCAAAAAACCATATAGTTTGGCATGACTACATATATTACTGAGGTCCAGCTCAGTACTACTCCTCAACTCATGCTTGATTTTGAAGGATAATTGTCCCATCACTGACCATGTAAGGCTATGTCTAATATTAAAACTGTGTTTTAGTTTTTGCTTGAATAACAAAGTTTCACTGGTTTCACTGAGGCCAGGCAATCCCTGCAAAAGCATTAATGTGGAGTTAGAGGTTGCCATCCTTCTTCGGGGCATGGGCATGATAACACTGACCCAGCTACATTCTATCAACACCCTTGCTGTCTGCAGGCCAGGGTTAACTCCCACAGGAATTCAAGTTAACACTCCAGTGCTTTGTTCAGTCACAGCCTAAGTTATGAACTCCAGCATGAATCAGGCAACCTACATATGTCACCCATAAGATGTTCATGGAATTAAACCAGGAGTAGTAAGATGACCACATAAGGCCACAAAGCAGCTGATACCCATGGAGCCACATGACCCTTACGTGTGCCCCTTCTGTCAATGAAAGCTTCAGGCAAAATGGGCCATCTTTTTTTTTTTTTTTCCCTTGCTCAGTCCTAACAAATGTTTCACCCCTGTTTAATTAAACTTAGAAAGAGTACAACCCAAATCATACACAAACCCCTGAAACATTTCATGAAAATAGTTTATAACCTCTCATGTTTATAAGTAATGGAAAATCCTACATTTCAAATGCAAAAGGCTATGCAGTGCATTGCTTTCAGGAAGAGCTGAAGAAGGTCCAGGGTTAATGTATTTCAGTGATATCAATTACTAGAGTAAAGGCACAAAACCAGACAAATTAGAAGTTAAGATGACTAAAAGACTTCCTGACCATGCACTGAATGGTCAGTGGAAGAGTCTTCAAAGCAGAGGTGGCAGAAACTTTACCGATGGAGATGTTTAAAGTGAGGCCATACACACACATGTACAAACATAATAATTTAGCATAGAAACATGTAGACTAAGTCAACCATATCTTTCTCATTTCAGATCTCAACATCTGAACACTCACTCACTGAGATGCTGCTAGCAATGTCCACAGATAGCAAGATCATCTTAGATAGGTAGGCACACCTTGCACAGTGCTTGCAATTCACTGCAAAAGATACAGCTAGCAACTAGTGATAACTCCTCATGTCTTTCCAACGTAATACATCTGTGTATATTAATACATTCTTTCCTATTCCACTTTAAGCGCAGGACTACTAATTCATCAGTAAATTCCTTAAACTTAAATTCCCTATGTGTACATTATCAAATCAAAGGAAAAAAGCTTGTTTAACTTGGTATTTATATAAATAGGTATATATATAAATCTATAAATTTATATAAAGAGGTAAGTGTTTGCACTACCAGATTTGATGGTAGGGATTCTCCAGGTTATTGTTACTTTGGTTTTCCAGCCAAAAGATTCCATTTAAAGCTTCATCTCTGGCCACACACATACAAATTATATATATATGTCATGAATCCTTATGTCTCCGAGACCTGCTCATGTGCTTTAGAGAGGAAAAGATCATCACTGTGTGGATTTCTCTCCTATCCAGGGCCTCGACTAATCACACTGGCCTTTGAGCAAGCTACCAGCTCCATCTGTTCTGGCAGACATTAAGGAAGGTCCAACACAGCAGAAGATGCATTCTTTGTTTGGGAGAACAGGCTGTGAAGGGGGAATTTTCATCCTTATTAGGGCAACCTAGCAGTGATTAATGTGACATGATGTCACAGGAGAAGCACTGGTTTTGAGACTGATTTTTGTTTGTAACTCTTTGCAACGTGTTGGTTTAGATTTCTGTCAAGTGTCTCAGAGAGTTTCACATGACCACTTTCCTCTCTTAAGTTTTTAACTTGACTTACATATACATGTGGAGAAAGGCTGGTATATGCCAGTGTGCCATCTGGACAGAAAATGGGGCAGGATAGTTACAAAGTAGAACTTATTTTTCTTCCCTCATTAGGATTTCCAGGCATTTCAAATGGGTACTTCAGAAATGCCATTTGGAGTATTACAAAGGGGAAATAAACTGTAGTGGAAAAATGTGTGCATATACAAGTGTGCGTGTGCAAATACACATGCAAAGATGGTTTATGTTTTGTTCCTGAACCCTTCTGTGAAAAAGGAAGGGTTGTTTTAGTAGAAACAGATTTCAGACTTCCCTTTGAAAAACTTGCCCATAGTAATTTGGCACGTGAAATCAAGAGGCTGTGGCAGTTCAACTCAGTAAAATTGCCATACATGTGGATCCATCTGCCCAACAACATCAGTCATGACATGCACACAAAAGAGGCTACACATGTACCTTCCAAGGGGTGAAATATTTATTAGCAAAGACACGGCAGGCTTACCAAATGTTTTCATTCAGCGATCTGAGTTTTTAAAGGCTAACACTTCCCCTTGGTACCCACTCATGGCCTCTGGGAGCTCCACGAGCGCTCCCAGCGCGGATCATGCCGTACAGAGAGCTGCACACACCACGCAGGACACGCGCTTTCAGTCATGAAAAGCGGTAGCGACCACACAGCTACGTGCCTCCCCGTTCGCATCAGGCAGGGACTCACTTCCAGCTGGGTCGCATGCCGCGGCCATGCGAACTTCACAGCAACAGCAAGGATCAGCCCCGGATCTTCTTGCTCTCAAAAGCACATGTGCCTAATGTCCCCCCAGGGAAGGCTCGCTGGGAGCTGCCAGAGCACAGTTCAGAGGACTGTGAAAGACAAACCAGATTTCTGATTCCCTTCCACGGCTTTTGCTTTTCCTCTTGCTAAACAATTGATCATTGCACGTAAGGGTCTTGAACCAGAATAGTTCCTTGTGCCCCCTGACTGACTATTAACAACCTGGATTCTCTGTAATAAACAGTGGATAACGAACACTGAAACAGTTCCTATGGTGTCAGCTGTGCCACTGTGGTGAGTCAGCTCAACAAAAGGGCTGCTGGGCGAAAGAAAGAGGAAAACCAATAATGGCAGGACAAGCCATCCTCAGCCCACATGAGGTATTGTAAAGAGACAATGACAGGGCACGAAGGAGTCCGGGGTAGCGGGGACCAAACTACTGCAGTAGACTTGAAGGAACACATCATCCAAGGGAGAAGACGGCTCCTCCAGGGAACCAGGCTAATGTGGGAATGCAGTGAAGAAGTTGAGTGATGGCTGGTTTCTAAGGAAAGCAGAAGTAAATGCCAGCTGTTCACAGTTTTAAAATAATTTCTTACCAAATGTACTATTCTTTATTGGTAAAGTAAATGTGAGTTTGGTTTATTTCAGAGCAAAGACTTCTGAAAGGGAGATCTGCAAGTATTAGATTCCAGTTGCTGTACTGGGTAGGACATGATAAGGCATCGATACCTATTAAAATGTGAACTGTAGAGTATCAGCTGCTATTAAGAATAAATGTGAACATCATTAAAACACTGAGAATGCTGTACCCACTGAGATAGAAGGAAACACTTGAGCACCTCTGAAATCCTAAACAGTTCAGGAATCTCTGTACACTTGCCTTAAGTCCCTTCTCTGAAGTTAAATACATGCTTAAGAGTCCAGAGTCCAGGCAGGAAGAGCATTCAAAGTGAAAAGTGGCAGGATCTTCAGAGCATAAATCTGCCTAGCAGGGGAGTTTTCCTAATCCTGAAGCAGCCCTTCCCAGGCAGCGTGGGTGTGTGTCTTCCAGCCCCAGAGAGTTACTTAACCCTAAAGTTACATACAAACACAAGCATCTTTGTTTAGACATTTCAATGCAACCTATCCTGGAAAAGAAAACAGCTGTAAGGTTCTAGTTGCCCTTTCCGTATGGCAGCAGTGTACTTTTGTTTCATAGGTTTCTGGTAAAAAAAGGAAGATTATGTAGCAACAGGACTTCAATTAATAATGAAAAAAATTACATCAGTAAATAAGTAAGTGAAAAAGACTTGTTTTCCCCTAGTTTATACCTCATGGTTTAGTACTGTTTTTGAAAGAATTGTCTCCTTTTTGATAGAGACAGAACTCCAGACACTGCAGGGCAGATCGGTGCTATTTGAAATAACAGATATAAAAATTGTACAATGAAAATGAATTTAGGTACACTGTTTGCATCACCTATGTGCATTTATTAGATCTGTCCTTCCTGTGTGTCTGCAAAGTGCCTTCCAAATGCTGCGACTGCAAGCAGCTCGTATCAGGTAGAAAGTTAAGGTTCAGGTTAGCTAAAATTTGTAGTTAGTTCTGACATAATCTGAACATAATCTGAATCTTTCAAATCCTAACTCCTAACTAGCAGAATGTGATCTTCTGTGGAGGACTTCAGGTTTACCAGATGCAATTCCAATGTATTTCATAAGCATTATTCACACTAACGATGCTGTACTTCCAGAAGATAGAACAAATACGTGTTTTCATTTTATAAACAAAACTGAGTTTGCTTCTGATTCAACGACATAATAAATACACCACAGTTACAGCAGCCACAACTCATCACTGACCCCTTATGCCATGGGTGCTGCCCTGGTTTGCAATCAAATCTGTTGGCTCTGGACCCCAAATTTCCTGTGCGAAAACATGAAAGCAGGGTTGGACAGTGGCCCAGTACTGAATTGGGATTTCCTGAGCTCGCCATGCTGCCTGCCACCAAAATATAGTCAAAGTAGCCCAGCCCAGCTCAGTCTTGCTCAGCAAAGCACTGAGAGGACAAACCCCTGTATATCCACTGTCACAAGACAGTTTAGCCTTAAGCATAAAGGAAAGAGCTTTACAATTACATAATTACATGTACTACTTGAAGTCAGGGAAAGAAAAATTACTTCTCTCATCTGAGCAAAGGCCCAAGTAATCACTTGAGAAACAAAATGTCAAGCAAGAAGCATCTCCAGGGTACTGAGCATTCCCAGAGGAAGCGAGAGACACATTTCTTCTCAGGAGATTTTCCCACCGGCAGAAAGCAAGGCCATCATGCAGCATGCAGTTTACATAGCAAAACATTGAACAGATCCCAGTAGTAATAGATCAGTTGAGCTTTTTTTGGGGGGGTGATTGTTTTGGTTTGGTTTTTATCTAGTTCATAAACCTGAAATTAAATATCTACAAACAGTATTTTATATTATTTTCCCGGTGATATGGCTTTTTCTTTGCCATTTAAAAAAGAAGAGCCAGGATTGCAATGCAAGATCTCATCAATATCAAAACAAGACTGCAGTGCAGACATCTCCTTTAACATACATTATTATATTATATGAAAGGAATTGGGAAACATGATAAAGTTGTAATAACTTAATTCACAAGAGTTGGTTTACTGTTGAATTGTCCCCTAGAACATGTCCCAGAGTACAGGAAAGGGAGGCTCTGTCTAGTCCTTCATGCATCAGCCAAAATTGGATTTGTCACAAAAATGGAGAAACACCTAGACACCCAAAATAGATGCTCTATTTTGATATAACATTTCTTTACTGAGTGCTAAACCCCAACATGCTAAGGAGAAAGACCATTCTTTGTTTTCTCTGTATAAGACAACGAAGCCCTGGAAAATTACTTTTCTTTCCTCAGTCTAGTCCTAAGTTTTGGTGACCCCCCACATACACATGCACACCCCCCCTCTTTCCTCTGACTATCATCAGCCCTGTCCTCTCCCGCTTCTTGTCCCCACATGAGCAACTCAGTGTCAGCATGGAGCTCCTGGTCTGGAGTTCACCCTTCTTCGGGAAGCAACGTGACCATGGTGCCACACAGTAACCCAGCACTGGCAGTCTTCTCTGGTGATCAGCCTAGCAAAAGAAAATTGGAGATGTAATTGAATTCCAAGAAATATTAAAAACAACATACTATTGAAAAGCTACATAAAATAGGCTGTGAGAAGACAGAGGAGGTAAGGTTTAAATTCCATGTCTTGCCTCTTACACTGCTGAGGTTTCTAGGATAAGTGGGTTTGGGGGTTTATTTCTCTCTGGGATAGAAATGTCTGACCACTCCCAGAATGGTATTCATTCTTAAATATTTGTGGCCTGAAATTTGACTGAAGATGGTAGACTTCTTTTTGTTTAACCTAAAGACTTAACCCAGATTTTAATGTCATGGTAAAACACGACTGTGAAACATTTCATACTTTTGTTTCCAGCTGAAATTAAGGAATCACAGAAGTTGAGACAGCAATACTTTACATTTGCCTTTCTCTTAATGGCATCTTTCATTGGATTCGTGACAAATCTTGCTGGAAATATGTTTATCACACCAGATGAAGCAGCCAACTGAAACTATTTCTGACAGACTGTAAGATAAGATGAAATTATAGCCATAGGAATCAATTCTTGTTAGTGATCAAGACTGGAGGCTGTTTATCAGACTGGCTTCACAAGAAACCAAACCATAGAAATTTACAGACATTGATTCCTTTCCACACACTATAAAGCTTTGGGAGAATGGAAAATTAGAATAAACATTTTTTACTCTTTGTGTATATATCTACACAAATGCATGTCTGTATGTAGCTGAAGGAGCAATTTCAGCAGTGAAGATTAACAGATATGCTACATTTGTCCTGCATTATGATCTTCTAAAAACTGCAAGGGATTTCTTTGGAAAACCTTTAAAAGATGGATCCTCACCTCTGCTGCGCTGCTGTCTGGATGGAAGAGGATGTAGAGCAGATCAAGACTCATTTAAGAAATACAACGTATTCTTTCTGATAGAACAGTATTAAGAAATAAGCCACTGAGACAGTATGTCATCCTTCAGTGATAAGGAACTATTAGATCATGCTTCAATCAGAAGAGAAGGCATATTGCAGCGTATTTCTTTTTGCACTCATCAGTAAGAAGGGCCAGTCATTCACCAGATATTTTTGCAATCCATTCTCTGAATTTCCCAGCAAATGTATTGTTCCATAACTTAGCAATGTCCTACATCAATAGTCATTTCTCTTACTGAAAGATATGGGACAGCATTCAAATGAAACTCAATTGCCTTCCTCATACTTTCATCCCTGTTTTGGCTGAGGCAGACAGAGATAGTAAGGGACAAATAGAGATATTCAATAAACACACCCATCATTTTGTTCGATGAAGAGAAAAATCGTGGATGGATGAACAAACTTCCCTGACTATTAAGGGTAGCTGGGAGCATTGCATTCTTCAGTATTGCTGGCCTGTCACCTTGGGGAGTTTATTTCCACATAAATCAAATATTAACCAGACAGGGTAATAGTGTTCTCACTGTTACAAAGGAGGCAGCTGGCCAGCTCAAAAGGACTAAATCTCTTTTCCTCTGGGACATATGGAAATGGTCATTACAAGACAATATTTATTTATAAACACACTTGGCCCCGTCAATTGGGCTTGAATATATAGAGGAATGGAGCTTATTAGTAAGATAAAGCTTTCCCATGACCTATAGAGGACAAGGCGTAGGGACCACAGATGTTCCGTATTAGAAAAGCTGGAAAATTTATGTCAATGGCCATGAAAAGCTCAGTTTGAAAATAAGTAAATAAATAAATAAGGAGGTCACCAGCAAAGACAAGGTTAAGCACACTGGAAAATGGATCTTCCAGGATATTTAACCTTTATTTATTTAATTAAGTGGAACAGATTCCAGGCCCAACTGCATGTGTCTCTCCTGAGCAACTCAGCTGAAGTTACCAAAATTATTCTGGACTTGCACCAGTGCAGAGCCAGGCAGATGGCAGCCTACATGGTGGCTGCTCTGTCATGCAGGTGAACACACATACATAAGCCAGAAAAAGCTACACAAAAACTTCATGAGAACTGATTCAATTTTTATTTAGCAGGGTTTAGTTCTTCAGACTGTGCAAATTGGCTTGTCTAAGCCCATGGATCACCTCTGCTTACACCAGCTCTGAATAGGGCCCTGACCAAATGCAACCAACCATATCACATCCTGGCTGGCCCAAAGCCTTGAATCAAAGGTTTTGTGTATCTATGCAGACTGTGCTCATGAAAGCCAGTGAACACAGGTTGATGTTGTTTGCACAGCTGCAGGCTCACTGTACACCCATGGTCTGCCTCGTGGCCTCTTTCTGCGTCTCAGGTACTTCTTCCTCCAGCATGACATGGAGCAATCAAACCAGCATCTCCTCACCTATCTGTACGTCAGGGGACTTTCCTGTCACACACTAGCTCCTTGGTCACTCTTGGTCCCCCCATCTGCCAGAGGGTCCTGGCTAGTTACCTTCCAGTAGAGACTTCTGAGAGACATCCAGCATGGACTACTGCTTTTTCCAATTATTAAAATGACCTTTTCATGTTCCCGGCCACTCACTGATGCAGCAGGAACTAGAAAAAAAATCCATGTTTTTTCTAGGTAGGACTGAGAGAAGTCCCATTAATCTGCAGGAATGGGAGTGAGGCCACAGAGCACCTGGGGTGGTGAGACATCTTCCCTACCACAGTTTTGCAATTAAAATGCTACAGCTGTCTCGTGGCTGAGAGCACCACAGATGTGTGAGGGACTGACTGACTGACCACCATCAGGCAACTGAAGTCCAAGTTCTTCTAAACCCTTATGGTGCTGCAGGAGATTTCCAGCTGTTCTTGACTTCAGAAGGCCAGGAAAGTGTTCACACAAGTACAAAAGTATCAGTGCATCATTACGCTTATTTTACCTCACTTTGTATTTCTCCCTAAGCACCTTGTCCCGCAGATATTCCCCCTGTCAGCTCACTGTAGTCAAAAGCTACCCAGCTTTTCCCAAGACACGGAGAAGGCTGTATGTCCTCAGCTAACTGTTTACAGAGGCATGGGCCCAGGCCAACATGCTCCCATTCTCCTGAGACCCACCAGTGTGCACCTTCCTGGCAGCACAGAGCTACCTGGTTTGCACCATGGTGGATTTTCTGACTGGCAAGAGCCAGAAAGTGCAGAGATGGGGTGGGCAGCCATCCTGCCTCTCCTGAGGCAGCAGCTAGTGAGGTGATGGAGGAGCAGAGGACTACAAGCACCTCAAAAATGGAGCAGGTGGACATCTACTAAAGATCTGAAATTGTTGTGCTAAAAAAACAAACAGACCACACTGCAGTTCAATGTTTTTTTAGTATTGTTTCCCATGGTAGGAGAGGTATAAAATATCAGTCTGATTACAGAAGCTGAGGCTGGGTCTACTGCAAGGGCAATTACTGAATAACTTTTCTCTTTTTCTGTGAGTTTGATTTAGTTTACACTGACAGAAAAAATCCCACAGTGCTGGTTTGCAGTCATTTTCCTTACATTTGCTCTGTTTCAAATTTTCTAGGGTTTTTTTTTAAGAGTAGTTAAGAAGAAACAAGACACTTGAAGTATGTTTAAACCTCTCCCTTATGAGAATTCAAACAATTCCTATTACTTGTCAATGCTAAGGGGAAAATTATAATCTGGAGTGTAATAATATCTGCAATATGGACTTTGTTGGGTATCGTATGTTCAGTTCTGTGTTTGATCCATTGAATCTTGATGGGAATATTTGCTACTGAAAGTAAAACAGGATCTATGATAGTTTATTATTTCCAATAAAAATATAAGAAAGAAATCAAATTATCAGCATTTTTATAGTACATCACCCCTGAGTATTACCAAATGTATCACAAAGAGGAACTGCAATCATTTCCGTAGACAAGTGATACTTTCGTCACTTCTTCAACTCTCCTTTGCCATCATTTTTCCCTCAAACTTATTTGGAATTTTTTCACTGGTCAATGAAAAACAAAACTCTTGTAGTATATCATGGTCCTCTTAAAATCCTACAATATAAGACAATATACAGAATTACTGAAGAGTTGAGGTTGGAAGTCAACTCTGGAGATCACCTAGTCTAAACCTTTCATTTAAAGCAGGGTGAATTACAGCAGGTTTCCCAGGACCATGTCCAGTTGGGTTTTGAATATCTCCAAGGATATAGATTTCACAAACTTTCTGGCAACTTATTTCAGTGTTCTGTCATGGTTACAGCAAAAAAAAAGTGTTTTCTTATGCTTAAGTGGAATTTCTTGTATTTAATTTTCTGTCCATTGCCTCTTGTCCTGTCACAGGGCATCACTGAAAAGAGTTTGGCTCTCTCTTCTTCATCCCCTCCCATCAGGATTTTATACACATGGATAAGATCCCCCAAGCCTTCTCTTCTCCAGGCTGACCAGTCTCAGCTCTCTCAGCCTTTCCTCGTATGAAAGACGCTCCAGTCTGTTAACTATATTCATGGCCTTTTACTGGACTTGCTCCAGTATGTCCATGTCTCTCATATTGGGAAGTGCAGACCTGGACCCAGAACACAAGTTGTGTCTCACCAGAGCTGAGTAGAGGGGAAAGGTCACCTCCTTCAACATACTGCCAGTGGTCTGCCTAAGGCAGCCCAGGATGCTGTGGGCCTTCTTTGCAACAAGGGCACATTGCTGGCTCCTGGTCAACTTGTCCACTACCACCACCCTCAGCTCCTTTTCCACAGAGCTGTTCTCCAGCCAGTCAGTCCCCAGAGTGTACTGGTGCATGGGGTTATTCCTCCCCAGGGCAGGACTTTGCATCTCCCTCTGTTGAACTTCATGAGATTCCTCCCTGCCCAGTTCTCCAGCCTGTTGAGGTTCCTCTGAATGGCAGCACAACAATCTGGTCTATCAACCACTACCACCAGTTCTGCATTGCCTGCAAACATGTTGAGGGTGACACCACTATGCCCCCTCATCCAGGTCATTCACAGGATTTTCAAACAGTATTAGCCCCAGTAGCAGTTCCTGGGGTACACCACTAGTGACTGGCCTCCACTGGACTTCATGTCACTTATGACAACCATTTGATCCTGGCAGGCTAGCCAGTTTTCAGTTTATCTCACCGTCCACCTATTTAAACCATACTTTATCAGTTTGTCTATGAGGCTGTTATGGGAGACAGTGTCAAATGCTTTGCTGAAGTCAAGATAAACAATATCCACTGATCTTCCCTTATCTACCAATCTGGTCATCTCATCACAAAAGGTTATGAGGTTGGTCAAGCATGACTTCCCCTTTGCAAATCTGTATTGACTATTCCTAGTCATCTTCTTGTCCTTAGTATGTTTGCAAATTATTTCCAGGATTAGTTGCTCTGTCACCTTCCCATGGATCAAGGTAAGGTTGGCTGGCTTGTAGTTCCCCGGATAGTCTTTCTTGCCCTTCCTGAAGATAGAGGTGACATATGCTTTCTTCCAGTCCTCAGGAACCTCCACTGATTGCCACAACTTTTCAAAGATAATCAAGAGTCACCTCACAATGACAATGCCTAGTTCTTGCGAGAGCAACCCATCAGGCCCTGTGGACTTGTATATGTCCAATTTGTTTAAATACAAGTATGTCTTCTTAGGGAAGGAAAATACTGACATTTACTCATTTGTTTTTATTTTTTTTTTAACTCATCTGTTTTACTTCTACAAACACTGGTGCTGAGCTTGGCATCTCACAGTTTGCAAATTTTTAAGTCAACCCATTACCTCATTAATGGAGTCAGAAGTTAAGAGACTTCACTTCTTCCATGCTGCATTCTTCACCTTCATCCCTCAAGGTATTCTGGTTTCTAAAACATGAAAAATGGGAGATTAAATCAATTTAATGTTGTTCTTTGTGCTTTTGCTTGTAATGAGAATTCAGAGCATGTCTGTGTGCATTATTTACTCTCATTCCCCTTCAAAGGACCAGCAATGTTTCTGACACCAGCTCCCTGTTTTGACACTAACCTCTCCAGTTCTCACAGAGGCTGTTTTATGTGGAATTAGAAACACTGATTCATCCCAATTAGTCTGTGCTCAGAGCCATTCCTCATCTTCCCATGCGAGGTTCTGAGTAACCCACAAAGGAAAAAATACTATCACAATGCAACTTTTCTTTCCAAATCCTCTGCTGTCCCTGGATACCACAGGAGCCCATTTCAGCCACAGTAGGGACAAAGATATTTATTTTGATTTATGCTTTCCTATCTGCTCCCTCTTAGCCACAAGAAGCTGATCTTCAAGCAGATGCATCATCTCTGCGTATCTCTGCTCTGCAACCAGACAGTGACCTATTTCAGAAGTCAAACTGAGATCAAATGTTACTCTCTGGTTCATGGGTAAAAAAACTTTGAATCACAAGAGTAACTAGAGGAAAAAGATGCCCATCCTGCACACTGCTGTGTTCACAGTGAGTACAGTTGGTTCCTTTCCCACACATCTTTGCTGTTTATTTGTTTTTTGATTAAGCTAACATCCATTTCAACAGCTGGATCCTTGAGAGTTTTAAAACATATTAAGGAATCAGCTAACCCATTAACAAGAAAATAGGAGAAAGAAAAATTGTAACCTAGCAGATGCTGAAGCTTGTTTTTCTCCTTGTGGCTCCATGTACTCGAGGAAGTGGTGAGGTAAATGCATGTGGGAATATTTCGCAAAGCATGCAAATGACAACACAATGTGTGCTGGTCCGGTTAAAAATTTGTTACATCAAGGAGAAGAAGGAGAAGGAGAAGGAGAAGGAGAAGGAGAAGGAGAAGGAGAAGGAGAAGGAGAAGGAGAAGGAGAAGGAGAAGGAGAAGGAGAAGGAGAAGGAGAAGGAGAAGGAGAAGGAGAAGGAAAAAAGAGATAAAAGGCCTCAGCCAATAGTCTTTGTTTCAACAAATTAAAGCTGGAGCCATCAACCATAAACAAACCAGTTTTAAGGTTGGGTCTGAGTCTCAGAGTTCTTATTAATGAACTTCTATCTCATGGTCAGACTGAGGCTCTTAAATCAAGGTACAGAAATAACACGGCAATAGACCCTTCCAATATTTAAGGGTATTTAGACTTGAACTCTATAACCTCAGCTTCTTGCCACATCTCCCTTTCCCCTTCTTTTGCATGATTCTCTGCACTCTAAAGCCACTAGCTGAAGTTATCAAGCCATAAATTTGTCTTTGTTCAATATATCATCACAACATCCATTAAACAAACTTTCTGTTTCTTTTTATATTCCTTATAGAAATAATGCAGAACTTTGCCTTAGCAAGGAATGATTAAATGCAACACATCTGTAGTTTGTTGTTTGGATCATTTGTCTTTCTAAACAAGGTCTGCCAGTTATTTGTCTCAGATGGAAACCAGTGAACCTTTAAAAAATGGGTAAAAAAGGAAGGATTGGGCTGAGAATTAATCAACTTCTTAGTACCTGCCTTAAACTTGATCAACCCAAATCTGTGTTATTTTTTATGGCTACCCGTATTCCTGGTACTGGAGCTATCAAGTCACTTGGTAACGGGCTCAATCTGATTCCAACAGAAATAAAAGAAAAGGAGTGCTTTCACACATGTGCTGCCCTAGAAATAGCCAACACCGTGTGAAAGGCTCTACTTTGTTATGAAACACTGCACTAGCAGTCATTTGGCCACAGTTTGTTTAAAGAGCAGTGGAGGCAGGGAAAACATAAAAGAAAACGCAGTTTTACATCTATTCAGGATGGAGGCACAGTTATTTCCAAACAACAAAAAGATAACGTTGCTAAGTGCAGTTTCAAAGTTGACTTGCCTGTTAAACACATCCAGGTTTAAAAAAAAAAAAAAAAAAAAAAAAAAAAAGAAAGAAATAGAGAAAGCTTTAAAATTTTAAAAAGCAATGATAATCACATGCTAATGTTCCAAAAGCAATTTATGTGCCAACTTTAACTAATTCATAATACACACACACACACACAAGTATTTTCTTCTAGGATGCAGCATGCTAGAGAAGTCTCTCTGCAGCGTGCATGATGGGTGAGGCTGTGGGGAGGCTCTCTGGAGCTGTCTTGGCCAGTCCTGAGAGACCAGCTCTTGTATGTCCTATAACCCCAGAAAAACAGAGATTGCAGGGTGTAAGCCTCTAGATCAAAACCAGTGGCACTTCTTGGACAGAAATTGGTGAGCAGTCTGCAGTGGAGCAGCCAATGGAAGGAGAGATACTAATTTTAAAAAATGATCATTCAACCTGATACAGAGAATTTCTGTGGTATATTTCAACTGCCTTATTCATATCCTTTAAAAAAGGGCTAAGATTGCATGGCCTTGTCCAATTCTTTGATCTTGTAAGTGCAGATTTCCCTTATTAAGAAAAAGACCCCCAGTTTAGCCTAAGCTATGCATGGGCTCAGTAGCTGATGTTCTCATAGACACCAGGCCCTGAGCTGGTTCAACTGGCAAACCATACATGCTGGTAAGAGTCTGCTCCCCTTGTCTCCTGCATCAAATAAAACCCAGTGCAGGTCATTCTGGGTTTCTGAGGATACTTTTGCATTGCTTGAATCCTTTGCCACAAAGAAAGGGGACTAGAAAGTCTATTCTTCTGGTTGGGAAGCAGAAAACATTGCAGAAGTTCTAGTCAACAAATCTGATTATAAAGGCATGGACCTAAGAATAAAGTATGTCAAAACTCACATTTAATCAGAAATCCATGCTCTCATGCTACAGAAGACCAATTTATATATATAAATATATATTTTTATATATATATGTATATATAGCAAATATGAATGAGTATGTATAAAAAGACTTCTTGACATGATCAGAGATTGTAAAAATAATCTAAATTATTGCCATTTTTGAGAGACAGGATTTCAAAGAGAAATAAGCAACTCCATGAGCAGCCAAACTAATGACATCTTTCATAAGGATTCTATGGTTTTAGTTACTTGACTTTGGTGTCCAAGGATGTAAGATTCCCAGGTGATATTGAGCATATTTGGGCATTTATTTATAAAGGCATTCACCTGTGTAGGTTCTCTACTGACTAAAAAGATGTAGGCTTACACTACAACTCTTTCCTCAGTAAAAATACTAATAAAGTCTCTCTCTTCCACTCGAATATTAATTTTCACAAAACTTGTAGTATCTTAGTTATTCTTGAAACCTCTACTGTTTGCAGTTGATGGTAGCCAAAGGTTTCAAACACTGCTAGGGAGAGAGGAGGAAGGAAGGGACACATACACATAGGCACATCAGTCGCATTTGCCTTGTTTTCATCTGCAAAAACTCTGTAACATAGTTTCAGGGCATGAAAAACAGTAAGATTTGGGTTTTTTTTTTTTTGTTTTTTTTTTTGATCTAGGGAGAAAAGTGATGAAAAGGATAACAATTAGCTTCATCTTTGTGAAGACCCAATGATCTTGGACCAAGGTAACACAAACAAAAATATGAGTTACACAAGTAACAGAAACAACATACCTGGGAAGAAGCGAATGTGTCAGACCATGGTAAGGTAGAAGATATCTCCAGCCTGCTTTCCCAAGCCTATGAGGAAGGAGTACAGGGTCCCTTGCCATGACAAAGTGAAGGAATGCTTCGCCAAATCTCCGTGCTGGGACATCCAGTCTACAGGCGCGAGTACCACAGCTGTTGAGAGAGTTTGATTCTGTGGGTAATCACTGTCATCATTGGGCATCCTGGTTCTATTTCTCACTTGAATGTATGTTTCATTAATGCTAGCTACCAGCTCTTGTTCTGACTTTGTCAGATTAAGGAGCACTTTAATGTAATCTTTGTCTATTTTTCTCTCAGAAACTACTTGTCTGCCTCTTAAAGTCACACCTCAATAAATGGAACAGATTTAAGTTTTCCTTAGGTTCCCTGTTTTCTTTAGCACTGCGTCAGTTTTTGTGACACTGGTTCAATCACCCCAGTTTTTCAGCTCTCTTTTTAAAAAACAAACACTACAAATCTCTGACTTATTCCTACGTCGGGCTCACAACTATCATGCAACAATACAACTGTAGCTCCTTGCTGCTACTTACTGCACCCTTATTCCTATGTCTGTGAATCATTGTTTGTCCTTTTACCATGGTGTCAGATGGCATTCTGATTTTGTCCCCACTGACCTCAGCATTTGGTAAAGGCTTGCAGTGTCTCCTCAGTCTGCTTTTCTGTTTATCCTTTCCTGCTGTGAGTTTGGGCATAGCTAGGGCAGCCAAGAGCTTTGAGTAACAAAACATAAGGACACAATATAAGAACAAAAGGGTATATGTACTCAATCCGACCAAATGTTCCTCTAACTCACTAGGTTAGAGGAGGTTGTCACGATCACATGTGATATCTCTTCTTAATGGCTTAATACAACAGATACTAGCTGTGAGGACTTGCCATTAAAAGGTTTTGTTGAGCTGGGAGATGGATCTGCACTCTACCTATTTATTACCCAGAAGTACACTGGCCCTTTTCCAGAGAAAAAATGTCCCAAAGTGGCAACTAAAGGGTGTGTAGGGAGCAGATAATGGTACACTCGCTCAGAAAGCTCTACCAGCATCTGTATTTTGCTGTCCAAAGGCCTCCTGAGGCAGAGGTGTGGTCTCACAACCCCAGCCTTTTGTTGGATTTTTGTTTTCTGAATTTGTCAAATCACTTTCTGAATATGTGTATATTGATAGCATCCACCAGGAGCTGCAGCGAGGAGTGACAGCTTAAGTATGTATTTTATGAAGGATCACGTAATCACAGAATGGTTGAGGTTGGAAGTAACCTCTGGAAGTCATGTTGTCCAACACCACTGCCCAAGCAGGGCCACCCAGAGCCAGTTGACCAGGCTCAGGTCCAGATGGCTTTTGAACACCTCCAAGGATGGAGACTCCACAACCTCCCTGGGCATCCTGTTATAATGCTTGGTCACCCTCACAGTGAAAAAGTGTTTCCTGATGTTCAGACATAAACTCCCGTGTTTCAGTTTGAGCACACTGCCCCTGGTCCTGTCACTGGGCACCACTGAAAAGAGCCTGGCTCCATCTTCTTTGCACTCTCCCATTAGGTATTTACATACACTGATAAGTTCCCCCTCCCTGAGCCTTATCTTCTCTAAGCTGTACAGTACCAGCTCTCTCAGCCTTTTTCACATTTGTTTGTTTGTTCTGAATCTCCTCTGACAGTTTGAGGTGATGCCCATTAGCTTGCATGAAAAAGACAGTGAGAAGCAGTTTCTTACCCAGACAACACACCTTCTAAACATCTGTCATACACTCTTTTGGGAACCAGTTTTCCAGGTTCAGGGGTCCTACCTCATTTAGTCGTTCCACTTTATTGATCATCCTTGTTCTGTTTCTGACCCTTTCAGTTCTAGCATGTCTTTTCTGAACTGAAAGGACCAGTGTTCAAGGTACACCATGGACCCATACTGGGATGCTCTCTGATGCTCTCTGTCTTCTTTAGTTTTCCTTTCCTAATGATTCCAAACATTCAGGTGCATCTGAAGCAGAAGTCTACAGGAAGGATGCTGCAATCTGTGTTCTTGAAATACCAGAAACGGTGAGAATTTTGCAAGTAATAACTATCCATTTCCATCAATAGTTTGAATGGCAGCTGTGTGAACTGATTAACAGGAAATTCGAACTCTCTTATCTTTAAAAACCTGAGTTCAGGTTCAGATTCCCTCATAAAGCAGTGAGACAGATTTGAGGTTTTCAAACACTCACTGCTTGCTTACCAACATCATTAGGTACTCAAAGAGTTAAAGCCTGGATCAATTGTTTTTGAATAAAATCTACAGAGACAAGGTAATTAAACCCATGCTTTCTACTTCCCCTGATAGTCAGAGTCAGGGCAAAGTGACAAATAGTGGTTTGAGCTGAATGAATTGCTGTCTGCATCAGCTTGTCTGACAGCATGGTGAACTAAAAAAGGGGACTTTCTCTAATAGAGCAGGAGAGAGGGGGAGTTTTCTGCCCAGTTTATCAGCCTGAGCAGCTCCAGGATGGGTGCAACAGAGCAGGATCAGCACAAGCAAGCAGGCACTGGCCCCACTGCGCCACCCAACTTCATCCCCAAAGGGGTGCAGGGACCCTGCTAAGGGGTCCCAAGCTACCCACCCATACCCAAATGCTGTGCCCCCATAACCTCTTACCGCCCATGGACTTGGAGCATGGGTGTAGCCCTCCATGGGTGTTGAACCTGCAAACTTTGTCAGCTTGTAGAGCTGCTGTTGTTGAGCAAAACTCTAATTTATACAGCAAAAGCAATGACAAATGATAAAACTTCACGGTAGTCTGGCTTATTTGTTAATGGCTCGGGTGTAAATGTTCTAGGAAACAACATTTAATACCATCATCACCTAATAAAATGGGTTTTTTCCATGGTATTTACAGGAAGGGCTTGTTTCCTTTGAGTAAGTTTGCTTTGACGTTATTGAGAGATGTTTTGTGGCAGTTATTTACACTTGGCTGAATTCCTGTGGCATCCTCCAAGTGCATTTGACACAAACTTGGGGCCCAAGCTGCCAGAACACAAAAGAGCACTTTGCACAGCACATTATCAATTTGTTGTGCTGACTGAGTGGTGTGATAACTTTTCCATGGCCAGGAAAGCTGGCTAACCCTCACTAAACTATTAATCTCAGGACAGTTTGAACTAAGAGAGATTTCTGTAAAAATAGACTACAAAGAATGCATCAGAGAGGAGAGGCTTTGCATCTTTTACAGCTTCTTGACCTCTTCTGAGTGGATTTTTTTACTAATGGGAAGGATTAAATGGAATATCCTTGTGCCTCAGCACAACGCAGTGTCCGATTTGCACAGCAGTTCTTAGACATGTCTCCAAGCAGCATCGCTGCTTGGGCTTTGCTATCGAGCACACAGAATAAGGGCCTGTCTCATCATTGCTTCAACTTGGTTCCTGACCAATAGCTCGGATTTTTCAGGTCTCAAACTCAGCTCTGACTTATGCTCATTTTTTTGAAGCTTGGTTTCACTGTGGAACCAGGCTAGAGAAAAAATGGAGGAAAATGGCAGGAAAGCAACACCTGAGAAGACTGCTATTTTCCTGGCACATAACTTTTGTCTAGCTGGTGATTAGTTGTGGTGGCAGGCCACCCGGGTCCAATAAATCACAACATTGAGTAATCATTGCATACACAGTGATGTAAGATTCATGATGATAAAACAATTGAATGCTAATGCAACATATCCTATGATTACAAAAATATGAAGTACATGGAGCATGGAACAATTTGAATCAAACTGGAAAAAAAGCCTCCTACTTGTTAAAACTGTATTTGTTATATAAGCTTATTTCTTTTGTCAGATACTTTATCTGATACCATAAAATAGAATATAGCTTTTATATTGTGGGAGAAATACACTCACCTTACCAAGTGAGTCTCGGAAGGCTTCATAAACTTAAGAAGTGAAGTAGTAAAGATGGCAGAATATGGAAGTGGTTCTTTAACAAGGATTCATTTTGTAAGTGCAATAATCAAGTAAGTCTTCATCACAGATTACCGTTAAGCATATATCAGTGTAACTCCCTTTATTTTCATATGCTTTTAGCTACAACATCAAATTCACTGTTAAGTGAAATGAACAGGTAAGTAGTTACACCAGCTGAAGTGATTACACCTGCAGATATGCATGTTAATTTAGACTCAGAAGGAATTAAAATTTTTTTGTGTATGTAAATCTCAGTTACAATATGGTTCTTAGCTTGCTGCCTGTGCAAGGACTTGGCTGCAAAGGTGAAGAAAATACTCATGTAGTACAAAGTTTGGACATTGGTCTAATGAACGTAGATTGATTTTCTTGATTTGGTGAGTTTTCTGTTTGAAAAACCTTAACTATTGGGAATGCAAGAACAGCAGATTGGTCAAGATACATTTGAACATTCATGAGCTTAAATTTTGTTCCACTGAAACTGAACCAATGCCTAGCAGCAGTCTTATGGCCCAAAGGTGAAGACAAAGAAATACTCAAGCAAACAGTAAGAGAGATCCTTACCTCATTCTCTATACTATTTTTTATTTAATTTCATTTAAAAATATATAGATTTGATTGGGCTTTCAGGTTTTAAACCTTACACCAGCCAAAGCTGCTGCAGCATGACTCTTGCAACACCTGGGTGCTAATGTGAAAGTGCATACAAGTGCAAAAGTGAGACTTTAACCCTGAATCTAACTCTTTCAACCTTTAAATACAGAAGGCATTTAAAAATCAAATCTGTAGCAAGGAAAACAACCCCTTCCCTTCACAGCCAGCTGCTCTGTGATTTGCACTCTCTCTCTCCCGGTTCTGTAGCCCAGCTGTTGGTGGCTGTTTCTGGGGGAGGCACATTCCTTCCCGCTGCTGGACTATGAGCCTGCGGTTTCCGCTTCGCATCTGAGGCCTGATGGGTGTTTCATCATCATCTGACAAACTGTTCAGTCTGTGTCCTGAACACGTAAAATTGTCAATTCTTTCCTCAAAGTGAAAAACCCCAACCAAGAAAGAAATTGCGTTGTTACCACCACCTAGTGGTGCTCTTGGCAGACTTGCAGTAAGCACTTTTATTGCATAAAATCTACTTCAGAAAAAGACTATGTGCACATGATTTATATGACCTTTCTTTAGATTCACGGCTCTTTGGTGCAGCCACGGAAGGTTCACTCAGTTTTCCACTTATGTTGCTTTTAACTTGTTCTTAATAATTTAGGATGTTGACAAGTTCTCAGTAAATTACTTAAAAGCATCTTTTGAACAATTTAAAGTTGAAGCTGTTAAGAAGCCAACTGATAATGCACAAACTTCCACAGTCATTAGCACATACTTTAAAGTCTGTCCCTCAATGGTGGTTTTCAGCAGCCAGCACACCCTTGATGAAAATGAATGGAGTCTCAAAGACTGAGAGCCAACTCATTTGTAAACCCCAGCAAACAGAAATAATTTTCTCCATATGGAGGAAGTTGGCCTCAGTCCTGACTCTCCTAGAAACAGTCCTGACCTCACTTGTGATCAGCATCCTTCCAGCACTCCCAGTAACTTCTAGGAGAGCAAGTACAGCATAGCCTACCCACCAGGCTGGGATGCTGCAGGACTCAAGAAAAGAGTTAGGATTAAAAAGCCTGCAGTATGCAGCCAAAGAATAGCTTTATAGGAAATGTTTATTTTTCAGTTTTCCAGCAGACTCCTCAGATCCCCTCTAGGTAGGTGTTAAGTCTATACTTTGTTTAGAGGAGAAGCTTGCAAAGCTTCACTGAGGATTACTCGGAATTTTGAGAAAAAGATATAACAAATAATGAAGTACATTAAACAGGCATAGTCAGTGGTCATAATGCCATTGTTAGCTTTCGTCAGCACAGAAACTGCCAGACTTTCTAGGGTCCAGGACCTTAAGACCTGAAGGAACAGCACTGACACTTATTTGGCCCGTATGGCTGAAGCCAACAGCAACACACTCCTGGAAGAGCCATCAAAGGAAAAATTATAGCAGTGGATACTGGCTTTAAGATGTGCCCATGGGCAGAGGATGTCTTCACACCATTATGAACCAAGGAAATGGTGAAGGCTCTCTACTGCTTGGAAGCAAGAAAATCCTGTGGCCTTGACTACTTCTGACAAGAAGTGCCCTGGCCTTAGCAAGAAATTCATATGAGCTGATGTATCTGTGGACAAAATGCATAGAATTATAAGATATACTAGGCAATACTTGTATATTGCATATACATGCTAGGCAATGATCCACCTTGTTAAATGTTATCCCAGATCATTCTGGAGCTGAATTAGCCCTTTGAATGCAGTCAATTTTGCATGGATTTGTGCACGTCTGTGGAAGAGCACATTCTGATCATTGGCCAAAGCAGACTTGGACCTAGCAGGAGTGTTGCTGCACAAGCTCCCACACCTGCAGCCAGAAAGTGAGGGGCTATAGTGTCCTGTGCGGTAGATTGGTCTGGTGTCAAGGACTCCAAAAAATGGCATTTCGTATCGTATGTGACTATTGTCACACCATAGGAAAATCTGGTAACATTCATTAATCAGACCAGAGTTTGGATAGACAGCCTACCTAGTCTCTGGTTTAGACAGTCTATTTACCCTGACCTCACCTCATGGGCTCGGCTTCTCCAGAGACTTGGGAAAGTGGGCAGGGGATGATTTGCTGTTCCCTGTGATGTCCCATCCTTAGTGCTGGCCTGATTGGACTGTGCCTGCCCTGACAGCAGCTCCTGGAGCAAAGGGAGCTGAGGGGTGAGCTGCCACTGCACCGTGCCCTCTCCCAACACAGCCCCCAGCAGAGGAGCCCACTCTTCTGACTGGAAACTCAGTACCCAGAAAGTCCCAGGGGAAGAACTCTAGCCTCTCCTTTTCCATGAACCTATTCATGCCCCAATTTCTTTATAATATTACACATTAATAATTTTATAGTAAATGAAAAACATAATTATATAATTTAAATATAACCTGTATATACTTACACACAAGTAAAAAAACACTCAGACATGGAGAGCTGAAGTCAAGTTCACACTGACCAGGACCAGGACCAGGACCCTTCAGCCAGCAGGACAGGGGATGTGTGCCAGGGGATGACCGCTGGCGCAGAGCACAAGATGAACGTGTTGACAGGGCACAGACTCTTGCTTCCTTGAAACCTGGTTCATTCACTTGCTGTTTCACTGTGTCATATCAGAGACTGATAGAGCCATGGATGAGTGTCCCTCTGTGAAAAAGACATAAGGTTGTTCCTTGTAGGTGACATCATTATAATCCGTCACTATCACTATAGGGACAAGCAAAATAAAGGTTTGGTAGGGGAATTATTACATACAGAATTGCTCACTGTAATTTTCTTCATAGTGGCTTGCCAGCCTTCCACAAACAAATTACCAAGTTCAATTTTTAGAGGTTGTTTGGAGCAGAAATTTCTGCCCAGCCCTCTGGTCCCTGTGCTGTTGGTTTGCCGTCAGCTCCGTGAAAGAGAAAAACTTAGGTTTCTAACCTGTAGCAAAGTATATGTAGGTTTATGTGGGAGCTCTGCCACCAGAGGTCAGCGTACACCTCATTAAACAGCAGCGATTCCTACCACTATAATCTAAATTAAAGGAAAAAGTCCTGGGCACTCCCGGACCCCAAATGGCCACACTTTAGGGATGCAAATTAGTCGTGGTGAGCACAGATGGGGCTGAAATCCTTTTAAATGGGGGTAGAAGAGTTTCTGTGAAACTCAGACAGGTCGGCCAGGGGTTGGGATTACTCATCACTGTGTAAGAAGCTCTCCCTTTCCCACCGGTAGAATGATATGGGGAAAAGCATGCCATACCTTTATAGTGCAAATTAAATGAGAAACACGGGTCTGGAGTTTAAGTTTGCTCTGTGATATCCACAGAAGCACAGCACCATCAATCTGGACTTCACTGACAAAAGGGTTTCTCATGCCTGCCTGGAGACTTTTTCCCAAGTATGGTGCTCTCCTTCCTCCCTTCTGAAAGCCATGTTAAAAATGTTCGGTCCTTTCCCAACAAAACCCCAAACCCAACCTCAAAGCACTATGCAGTAACAGTCACAAAATGCAGACTGAATTTTATTGCTTATACAGATTGAGTCTAGAAATAGTTTTGAAAATATGATGCATCATGATGGCACAAACCTTTTCCTCATCTTCCCAGATGTTTTTGATCTGGTGATCTTATTATCTCTAAACATTAAAAGCAGTCAAAGACAAAGTATCATGGAAGTCATTGGTTGTTGCTGGGGTAGTCTGACAGTGTAGCATGAAATACTTATTCTTTGACCTAAACTTGTTCATTTCAAAATAGGTATATAGACATATAGCCTCTTTATTCTGCATTGGAATGTTTCCCTTACTCAATTCCAGGAGGCTTGGGGCCTGAGGTCTTTTTTTTCTGTGCACTCCTTTCAGGCTGAGTGATGCCATGTGTCTGCCTCAAGCACTGGCACAAGCTGCAGACCAGCTCTGTGCCTCTGCAACAGAGAAAACTCACAGCAAACAGGACTTAGCTCTTCTGCGTTGTGTACCTAGGGACGGGTCTTTATTGCCTGCAGTCTTTGTGCTTTGGAAAGTGCTTTGGCTGCGCCTGGCATAAGCATATCTGACCATTAGTTTTAATAAGGACAAGATTGTATTGCTTTTTAATTTGCTCAATGCAAAAGAAGTTTGTAAGATAATCACTATTTAAATCATCTTTGACCTAAAACTCAGTTGTGGTCCCACCCCAAGTTTAGATGGGGCCATGAATGTTGCAACACTTCTTTCTCATATATTATGCATACAAGAGGCACAAATTAAAATCAGTTTAGGTCCTGTGAATGCCCTGGTGTGACCATACAGGTTTAGCAGGGCTGTCTGAATGCAGCCAGCTGAGTACAGCACCTGTAACACCTCATGTGAGGGCACTTGAAACATCTGTAGGAAGGTTAATCCTCTCCTGACTACAATGCTTCATATACCTGCTCTGAATGATGCAGACCTGTGGCCAGGTTTGCATTCCTCCTGTTTGACATAAATGGATTGACAAGCCATTGACCAACTGGCTAGAGACCACTGAAGGGACACCAAGATGATTAGGGGCCTGGAGCATGCTGTGTATGAGTAGAGGCTGAGGGAGCTGGGTTTGTTCAGCTCATAGTCCTCTCTGGGGAGATCTCTCTGTATCCTCCAGTACTTCATGGGTGAGAAGGCAGAGTCAGGCTCTGGGAAGCACCCAGAGAGGCTGTGAAATCTCCATCCTCAGAGCTGCTCAGAATTTGACTGGACGTGGCCATGAGCATCCCGCTTTAACCATGAAAGTCACCCCGGGCTAGGCAGAAGGCTTGAACTAGAGGAGCTCCAGAGGTCCCTTCCAACACAGATTACACTTTGATTCTGTTTTTCACACAAACATTTGAGGAATAGCTGTTCTTTCTAAAAACACTGGCATTCGCACACACATCTATAGCTGTATAAAGCAGGGAAACCTAGTATTTCTTGGTTATTATTTTTCGCTTGCTTTTGTTATTCATGGCCCCCTTGGGCAAAGAGTATGTCAGAGGGGTAATGCTCCTTGATAACACCAGCTACCACTCATCTGACATACCAAGTGGTGGAAGTGAATAATTTATTATGATTCACTGTAAATTGATATTTGCTTTTAGGAATTGTTTCACATCTTTTCTATATGACTGCCTTGGCTGCCTGTGTTTCAGGTAACAACATATGTTAATTATATAAAACACACAAGTCCCAAAGAGATAATTCTTAACATGCATCTAACCCAGCAATTGTTGTTGAAGCCCTGATGACTGAAAATTTATTTTTTTCCCCTGGGTAATTTAATAAAAGAAAGTAGCGTTCACTGCAAGCCTAGTATTCAACGTGGTGCTCCACAAAGTATTTCTGGTGTCAGCATTAAAATAAACAAGAGGCCTCCCATGGTATGCAGGGGATTACAATTAATTAATTTGCACTATTTTTGTGCTGAATACTTCCAAGCTATGAATATACTAATCAAGAGGAAAGAAAAAGTTGATGTAAACTTGCTATATAAGTGCAATATTTGTTTTTGTTTCATCTTTGCCTTTCACACATGACACACTCTTCCCAAAGTTCCTCAACAGCCTGAGTACCCCTCACGGGAAGCACATGCGCTTATGGATCGGCACCATGGGAGAAATTGGCATCAGAGGAAAAACATGATTATGAATTGGCACCGTGCAGACTTCAGATGCCTGGCTAAGAATAAAAGGTACTTTAAACCCCTTGAGCTCAGCACTGAACATCTGATAGGCAGAATATGAAGCCACTGTGCTGCCAGCTGTCTGGGTACATCTCCATTATCTCTTCTTGCTCTGGTTTTATTCCTCTGGGACATTTCCACAAATTAATTGTCTTTCCTTTTTTTTTTTTTTTCCTAAAATCCTGGCCAACCTGGGAACACTAAAGGAAGATCAGATTGGCTTAGAGCCCTTGCAACTTCCCAAGCTTTTTAATATGCAAAACAGTAAAAAGAGTCAGTGAAAGTATTGACTCTTTTCTGTAAGTCAACAAAACAGCCTTCCTGCGCTTGCTTTTTTAAGTTGTTGATACACCCACATACATATGTGCACACCCAGATGTAGAGCCACAGATCCTAGTCTGAAAACTGATTTTCCTGAAGGCTTTCTCTGAAGGCAGTCATTGCCAAGCATTTCAGAAGTATAAAAAAGGTGAGTTTGAAGGGACGTGTCAATAGAAGAAGCTTCCTACTAATCTGAGGCCATTAGAAAATGACTCATTCTTATGAATAAGAACATATATTTCTCATAACCCTTTATCTGGTGTAGCATAAAGGTAGATATCAGTCAAGTATGCCAAGTCCTTTTCAACCTCCTTTTACTTCCCAACCTTTTTTAAACACTGTAGTATCAAAAACCAGCACCCCACAGGCTGACTGCACGCAGACCCAACAGTAGTCCTTTCTATGAGTTTTCATTTGCCTTCAAAAACAGGCAAAGACTCTGTGAGTCTTCATTTGTGCACCTAACCTGGAAATACTTTCTGTAGAAGAAATAAAATAAATCTGTTAAACTGTGAAAGGAGTACACAGAGATGGGGAATAAGGGAGATGGCAGTGCACTTGCCAACACGCGTGCTGCAAGCTCTCTGCAGAGCTGTGCTGCCAGTGTTCAAGCCTACTCTCCTGACTATTTTTAAGAGCTAGCCTCTCCAAAACCTCCCATCTTCCTTTCTAACTATAGCACAGACCGGTAAGGTGAAGCACTTATGAGTTAAACTTTTATACCCTTGCCTTTTTTCTAACCACTTCTTGTATGGGTAGTTTTCCTTTTTAAAGGGATTTATTCTCATGGCACCCAAATTTAAGCAGCAGCCTTGCAGAACTGCAGGCAGCTGAGTCATCCCAGAGGAGACACAGGCTTGGTATAAAAGGAGGGTTTGCTTTTAAGGAAAATAAGGATGGGGAGTGTTTTCAGTAGGGTTATGATACAACTGGTATATGAGCAGGGAAGGTGCTGTAAACTGGAGTATAACAACCCAGAGGGACTTTTTATTTTTAATCTCGGTAGTGTGATCAGCTCCTGGTGTTTGAAGTCATTAAGCAGTCTGCTGTTCTTGAAACAGTGCAATTATGTTTAGGCTGTTTTCTGTTGTCTTCCTTGGTTTGACTCTTGGCAAGATTTATCTAAGCATTTGTGTTAGTTTTGTTTCCTTTCCCTTGCAGAGGGAGGGAGTGACTCTGGGGCTAGAAACTGCTTCTTCAAAATGAAAGCTGGGGCTGTTTTGTGTAATTGGATAATTCAAGGGAAAGAAAAAAAAAAGGGGGTTCTACAAAAATCCTTATCCCTTTGTGTGGATTGGCAATGGCTTCATCTTAAGTGGATTCCCCTTTTCTCTTCCTTCCGTCATTTTATAACTCCAGAACAGTAACCTGACATTCATGTCAGTCATATATTTTTGCTTAGCCCACGTAGGTGTTGGGTGGTGGGCCACAAGACGATTGCTTAGTGTTGGCTGTTTAAAATATGGGATTGAATTACCACTGTGGTTCTGCCCAGTATATTACATGATCACTTAAAGTGTTTAGAGAGCACATTTTTGTTATTGTTTCTGAGTAACTCTTATGCAACTGAGGTTGCACAAAACAGGAAAGCATATAAAAATAGAACTAGAAATCTTTTCTGGAAACTGCCTATTCTTCTACTACGTATTTTCTGCCTCTCTTGAGT